GATAGATTCGGATGATCTCCAAAATGATAGCCCTTGCTTTAAGTACTCCAATGTGTCGTACTCTTCCTTCTCAGATCTTTCCGAGTAGTCATGTTCGGCCACAATCCATTTACATTTGATATTCCTTTGCAAAATGGAAATGCCATCCAAAATTTCTTCTACTTCCTTACGCGAATAACTTTCAAGTCCCTTAACCTTGCGTGCTGGTCGTTGATTGTTTTCGGATCTCTCTATCTCTTCCAGACACCTTTCTACTCCAAAATATTCTAATTTTTGTCCATATTCAGTTATCAGAATGTGTTCATTCTTTTGAGTTTTTGTCACTTGGATAGATGACATTTCTTTCTCGTTTTCTTGGGCCAACCTGTACAACATTCTAAACATTTTCGTATATAACAATGGAAGCCCTATGCGGTTGGTTGCAACAATTTTCTTTAAATCCCTATGAAGCCTTTCATTTTTGTTTGTTCCACACCCAACAGGTATGTCCGACAAACAACCCTTATTTATGTGAACCTGAATGTTTTTTATTTCCTTCAACATTTCTTTAGTAAGAACACTCAATCCAGCTGCATTTTTTACAGATTCCCATTTATTGCTAAATTTTTCTAAGTTTTTCGAAATAACGTCAGGCGAAGGCGAAGGCCTAGACCTTTTTTTCCCGATGTCTCCTGGTTGACGGAAAACTAAGCCATATTCTTTAGCCATGCCAGACGAGTATTTCGAACACTTTGGTATTTTACGCACTAATCTTTGCACTGCGTGGAATATGTCTAGCTTAATGGGTACACCGGGAAAATGCTTGCTTAAAAATGATGTCCATTTGCAACAGTTATCGAGGAATATTCCTTCTAAAATGTTATTTTGTGTCAGAAATCTTTTCGAAAGTTGTTGAAACAAATTTTCAAGCTCAGCTGTTCCTTCCGTTTTAGTAAATTTCCACTGGATAACTGTGCCTTTTTCATTTAATACGCAAAATAGGCTTTGAAATAATTTTACCCACTTATTATCACTTTCGCGTAAATATCCGATATTCGAAGTTGCTTTAAATGTGTGATCGCAACTAATCCATCTTGCAGGAATTGTTGAAAAAAAATGCCGATAAAATACTTCTTCTGACTTAAATCTGGAAATGATTGCACCCCCAACTAGCGTATGTCCTACGCATGGTAGGTCCATTTGTTCGAACGTTGGGAAATTTTGACTTACTTCTTTTGTTAGGCCAATGTTTATAGCAATGTTATGATCACGGTAATAACGTTGCGCTCGTTCATAAAATGCTTTTTTGTAACATCGCTGTATAATTTCGCAGATCTGATTAGAGCTAAGACCTGCATCAAGTAGCTCTTCCAGATAATCGACAAGTCGATTTGTGAAACCTGACTTATGACTTAAAGTGAATGGTACATTATAGTTATTCACTTGTTTTACGACGTCCACATCTATGCTATTTATTTCAGTATGGCCTAGATCACATGAGTACTGCTTGTATACCAGTAATACGGGAGAGGTAAGGCCAAATATGATACGCGGATTTAGTCTTTGCAGTCGCCCATTTTTCCAAACTCCTGTGTTAACTAGGTGACCCTTTCGATTATTTTCACACATTTTATCGTCTGTTTCACACTTAGGACAAAGTATTGTATTTCCTTCAAGTAAAGCATTAAATTGGCACAGAGGGTCAAAAAGAATGTACGGAAGGACACAATACGACTTTGGATCATTTACCCACGTTTCATCCAAACTTGGAAATATATCGTACCTGATATCAGGGGGTTCCATAGTATGCTCCGTATGGTATTTAAGATCAGCAGCTTTGGTTGCAGACTCGATGCATTTTTTGACATATCCATTGATATCGTACCCCACAGTTAACGTAGGCTTCGCTATTGACAATAGAACGATAATAAGTGAACAAAAATAGAACGCTTTCATCCTGATCGTTGTGTTTTCATTATACATGAATAACCATTTTTATCGTTTTTATATCATCTATTTATGCTGCATATACGGAAATGGGAATAATCTGGTTAAATTAAAGATTCCATTGGCGTCGACACACAAATTGCTGCTGGCCATTGACCACCTTTTTTTATATTGCATTTGCTCCATTACCTGTCGGTCTTTTAGATAGGGCACCAAGTTCTCATATCAGAGTTGTAATTATCGTCGGCAAGGCGTGTCTCCTTGGGGGTACACCTTGCCATAACTGAGTCTATTTATAAAATCACATTATATAAATTTCGTATTTTCTTCGTAAATATTTTGTATTAGTTAATGTGATTTATTTACGTATAGAAATATTGCAAGCCATGGATTTTGCATAGCCCTCACCGCAGCTCAGTTTTCTGAGCATCAATACTGACACATTAAATCTCACACAATTTTAGGATAATTTTGGCTGGAAGTAATGGTTTCCCAGCCGGTTTATTTCCGTCAAACAAGATGATATTTATATGAATACATTCCAACAAAATTCCAAATATTCATGCTCAGAAAAGGGTGGAGGTGAATTACGCCAGCACCTGTACAAGTACGCCTGAAGTAAAATAGTTAATTGAGATATTCTATAATTGTCAATTGAGGTCCTCTATGTATCAGCTATTGCAAATCATGCAATTTGCATAATTGCTAGAGGAGGAGGTGGGTTGAACTTTAAACGAGCTCTATTTTCTGCGATGTCACGCTTACACTGACCGATTGTGTTTTGGGTATTCGGTCTTGTTAGTTTTCAAATTGCTGCTGGCCATTAACCACCTTTTTTTATATTGCATTCGCTCCATTACCTGTCGGTCTTTTAGATAGGGCACCAAGTTCTCATACCAGAGTTGTAATTATCGTCGGCAAGGCGTGTCTCCTTGGGGGTACACCTTGCCATAACTGAGTCTATTTATAAAATCACATTATATAAATTTCGTATTTTCTTCGTAAATATTTTGTATTAGTTAATGTGATTTATTTACGTATAGAAATATGCAAGCCATGGATTTTGCATAGCCCTCACCGCAGCTCAGTTTTCTGAGCATCAATACTGACACATTAAATCTCACACAATTTTAGGATAATTTTGGCTGGAAGTAATGGTTTCCTAGCCGGTTTATTTCCGTCAAACAAGATGATATTCATATGAATACATTCCAACAAAATTCCAAATATTCATGCTCAGAAAAGGGTGGAGGTGAATTACCGCCAGCACCTGTACAAGTACGCCTGAAGTAAAATAGTTAATTGAGATATTCTATAATTGTCAATTGAGGTCCTCTATGTATCAGCTATTGCAAATCATGCAATTTGCATAATTGCTAGTGGAGGAGGTGGGTTGAACTTTAAACGAGCTCTATTTTCTGCGATGTCACGCTTACACTGACCGATTGTGTTTTGGGTATTCGGTCTTGTTAGTTTTCAAATTGCTGCTGGCCATTAACCACCTTTTTTATATTGCATTCGCTCCATTACCTGTCGGTCTTTTAGATAGGGCACCAAGTTCTCATACCAGAGTTGTAATTATCGTCGGCAAGGCGTGTCTCCTTGGGGGTACACCTTGCCATAACTGAGTCTATTTATAAAATCACATTATATAAATTTCGTATTTTCTTCGTAAATATTTTGTTTTATATCATAGTAAGCGCACACGTATTTCGTGGTTTTAATGCAAGTGCACAATTAAGTACAAACGGTGCGATGGAGTTTGACAAATGAAGGTTTTCGAAAGAAACACAGCATTGCAAGTTATTAGATTCGATAAAATACTACACTAATCATATAAAATATGTAGTAATCGTTATATCATTATGTAGGAGAACGGTGATCAGGAAAATTTCCACAGACGATATTCGAATGCAACTAGACTAAATTTGCATGATGCGCGCATTCAAGCTCCCCAGAAATATAACACGATTTTTGAATTGGCGTTCATGATTTTACAAAATTAATCCGCCATAATCTAAAAGATCTATAAGAGGATTAGTCGAGGACGTGCGAACACACACCTTTTAATAATTGCTAATTGAATAATACAGTTTCGAAATAATGCAGACAAAATTTGACAGCTCTCACTGTTATAAAACCCGCGCCATTTGCAGTATCCTTCAATTGTACACTTCGAAAGGTAAGGATATGTCAGGCAACTTTTCTACATTAATGTCCAGTAAAATGTGTAGTTTTCGCAGCTTCTAAACCTTATTCAACATTCTTCTGTTTTATAGTTGGTTGACTTGTATGTTTGTAAAAGCTACGCTCCTTTTCTAATCGCTTGTAAAGAGGTAAGGTTCTAAAGTTAGTACCTATAAATAGCAGCTCGAACAACATAAATTTTAGGCTAGCTATATAATGTATATGCACCATTTTAAATTTGCGGTCGGGCCCTAAAAAAAAATTCCGGACATACAATAAATTTGGAAAAGAGACTTTGTTATATGTTATTGTAGTTTCCGCACCATTAAAAGACTGAACATCGGCGAGAATTATGACCGAGCTTTTAGAATAGTGATTAAAAGTTTAACTCCGTATAACCAAAGGACACAAAATTGTTGTAAAACGTTCGTCAACTACTAGATTTGACTTCTGGGAGTCGGTCACTGTGATTACTATATAATAGCGAATATTTTTATTGTAGATTTTTATGATGTCTTCGAGAAGAACGATATTTCCAATTACCACGCCCGCTGTGAATGAATGCCAGCTCGCGAACGCCATCAAGATGGCTCGGGCGATTAAATTCCCACTGGAAGTTTTCCCGGAGCCAATAACTGAATGGCTGATGGCATTGGCATTTTCCGTGAACACACGGCCAGAATTCATATTGATTGCGGCTATTTCGGTTGTGTCCACTTTGATGGGTCCGAAAACTAAATTAAAGATTCGGAACCGTTATCGGGAGCCGTGCAATCTGTTTACCGTGTGTTTGAGTGAACCTGGGGCCGGAAAATCGCAAGCGTTTGAGATTGCTGTGGAGAGTCCAATCCGCGCGTTGAAGGAGCCAGCTCATTCGATGGTCATCCATGACTTCACGCGGAAAGGACTCTTCCAGCACCTCGTCTCACGATGGTAGAGCTCTATTGGCTCATTCTGAAATGAGTTCGTTTTACGAATTCATTTTGAAGAAGCAACAAGAGGGCTCAGGTGAGAGACAGTTATTTTGCAGGCTTTACGATGGCATTGCTGAATGGGCACTAACAAGTGCGTGCACGAATAACAGCAGTTCCGCTGGTAAAGTCGAGAAACGGGAGCGGCGTGAGGTCCTTCTAGAAAGCACTTTGGCCCTTGGTGGGTTCACTCAGCCCGAACCATTTCTGCAGCTGTTTAAACCCCTAGCCAAAACCAAGGATGGGTTTCTTGATAGAATTTTGATATGTTCAATAAAACCTCGCTTGTTACTCGAAGAAGAAGTGGAACAATGGTGTGAAAAACTGGAAGAATACACTACACAAGAGTTCTCCGGTGAGTCGCCTATGTATGTATGCATTTATGCCGTGCCGGTGTATGTATGTTTTTATGCATATAGGTATGTTGTATGTATGTAAACTTTACTCGAAATAACCAACAATTTTTTTTTCAGGCGTATATAAGACAATATTCGACAAGCATGAGAACGGTGTCGAGTATTGTTACTCACCTGAGGCAAAAGAGAAGTATACTGAGTACGCCAATAATCTCTCCAAGAATATGAATGCCCAGTGGGATGAAGAAAGCATTTGTACGGAGAACTTTTCCAAGGACAAAAAAAATTTTATAAGGTATAATAACTATTATGCAGGCAATGCGGTATTGAACACTCGAATACGATATTTAAAATACCATTCTATTACCGGAACACCTTAAAATTGCGGAACCAATTTAGATGAAACAGCGCTCGTGGGACATCTTCAGTTGATGAAATAAAGCTAAAAGCATCATTATTATTAGAAAAAAGCCAATCAGGGCGTAACCTGTATGGATATATTAATTTCAAGCCTCATCATTATTAACATTAACCATCCAATTTAAGCCCAATTTTGAAACGTATATTTTCTAGGATATCATGCGTTCTCCACGTCCTCTTGTCTGTCCTCAGTCATTTTATTGACAATGAGAAAGACGGCGAAGAATGTGATATTGAAAAGGAGATTCCGCGAAACATATTAAGTATTGCAGAGGCAGTCATGGAATATTTTGGAGATCAGCGAAAGGCCTTTATGACGGTATGTATATATATATATATATATATATATATATATATATATATATATAATATATATATAATATTTTTTTTTTTTTTTTTCTATCTTCTAGTTGATAAAACCTGTTTCCAAGGAAAACTCCCGTTCATCATCAACAATTCCGGATGATACAGGATCATCGTCTTCCAGCGAAATCATAAATGCATTCGGGCAGTGGTTTGTGGGCAGGTGTAAAGACTATTCCGAAGAATGTGTAAGTATCCGTTCGATGCATGTTTCTGATACATGAATTTTCGAAGAATGAACTTAGATTGTGATCCGGTATCTGCCCAATAGTCGGTTACATGTGACTATAGGAAAAATAAAACTCTTTTATGATAAATTGATAATTTCATGCAGTCATTTTCAAAACAGTACTTCATTTAAACATCAATAGTTCAAAATTGCACGAATTAATACAAATATTTCAGTAATGAAAATTAACTTTTGTTAAAAAATGTTAACCATTTAGTAAATTCAGCAAAAGATTGATGAGCTTCTTTCTTATCTTTAGATCAGTAAATTTGCCAGAGAAAAGAAAAAGGCGGGTGATAAGGAGCCTAGCAGTATCGCTATACGGATAGAAAGCATTCCGGACGATGGTGGTCAGCCAATCATAGTAGACAAAAGCGAACTAAAAAAAGCAGTCGTGAAAGAAGGAGGGCAGGATCGAGACACATCTTATTTCTTAAATCAGGACGGAAAAAAAAAAAGGCTGGTTGTTTGTCAATTCCATTGGCATCGTTCACAGCACCCCTGAAGCACCAGGTGTTACAAGGTTGGTTTACGACGGAGTTGTATAAGTTAAAAAAAATATATAACACATATATATTATATGTTCAAATTGATTTCTAATTCAAGTTGGTATTTTAAAGTACGTTTAAAAACACAAGAAACTCAGTGTTTCATGCACTCAAGATATCCCAATATCTATTGTTTTCACAATGTATTCGCATGCTCGTTGCCATTCGTGTGGAAACAAACAAATTAGAACATTCTAAATGATTTGTTACAGTTCTCAAAGGTCTGAAGCTTGACACATTGCCACAAGAAATTGGTTCCGGTGACAAGAAAGCGGAGGAATGTAAGCAACATAAATCCCATACTGCAATTATTCCCTGTACAAAATCTATTTTGACAAAAATTTTTAAATTGCTGCAAAATATGAAAGGGAACAATGACCTTAAATCGTTGTCATGTATATTTATTAAAGGTTTGTCTGATGAAGATGAAAATGAAGGAACTGCAACTGACATGAGTGAGCATGACACAGGTAACCGATCAAAAATCTAGTATTTGTATCATAAAACCGTATAATAAAACATAGTTCTATATATACTAAATGCATGAATGTTTTCACGCTTTGTTGAGTGCCATTTTCTGACGTGTGTGTTGGGGGTGTATTTCATTTTGAAAGAGATATTTTTCGTATTTTATTTAAAAGTTTTCCTGCTTCGATTATTTACTGTAGTGGGCAGACAAACTCAAATGTCTATTGGATCCATTGAAGACGAAAATAAAGAAACAGAAAAGACGATAGATATGAGTGAGCATGACACAGGTAACCGATCAAAAATCTAGTATTTGTATCATAAAACTGTATAATAAAACAATAGTTCTATATATACTAAATGCATGAATGTTTTCACGCTTTGTTGAGTGCCATTTCCTGACGTGTGTGTTGGGGGTGTATTTCATTTTGATAATACGTGTCTGTCGTGTCATCAATGCAATGTCGGATGCTTCAAGAGATATTATTCGTATTTTATTTTAAAGTTTTCCTGCTTCGATTATTTACTGTAGTGGGCAGACAAACTCAAATGTCAATTGGATCCATTGAAGACGAAAATAAAGAAACAGAAACGACGATAGATATGAGTGAGCATGACACAGGTAACCGATTGGAAATCTAGTATTTGTATCATAAAACCGTATAATAAAACTATAGTTCTATATATACTAAATGCATGAATGTTTTCACGCTTTGTTGAGTGCCATTTTCTGACGTGTGTGTTGGGGATGTATTTCATTTTGAAAATACGTGTCTGTCGTGTCATCAATGCAATGTCGGATGCTTCAAAAGATATTATTCGTATTTTACTTAAAAGTTTTCCTGCTTCGATTATTTACTGTAGTGTGCAGACAAACACAAATGTCAACTGGATCCAATGAAGACGAAAATGAAGAAACTGAAACGACGATAGATATGAGTGAAAATGACAGGGGTAACCGATCGGAAATCTAATATTTATATACCAATCGTTATAAATCTTCTTTTTCTAAACTAAAAATATCATATATTTTAGGTAAATCGGACCGATCAAAACGAGAGATGAAAAAATTAACAGACGCCTTGTCGAAGAATGACAGGCCAAGCAAACGCAAAAGACGAAAAAATGCCAAATGACATTTTACTTTTTTTTATTATAACTCATTGTTAAGATTGTTAATTAATTGTTACGGCTGTATTATTAGACAATTACCTATAATGGGCAGAGTGTTTATGTAATTATGCCTTTATCAGGGAAAAATCAAATGTAAAAAACATTTATTAAATATAAACTTATCTGGCAGATCGATGATCATCTAAATCAGACTAAAGTAGCCGTAACGGTTTTGAAGAATAAAATGTTTCAAGAAAAGAATAAGTGAAAACGAACACAGAAACACCGAAACACAGAAACATAGAAACATAGAAACACAGAAACATGGAAACATGGAAACACAGAAACATAGAAACACAGAAACATAGAAACATAGAAACACAGAAACACAGAAACATAGAAACATAGAAACGCAGAAACACAGAAACACAGAAACATGCAGAAACATAGAAATGTAGAAACACAGAAACGTAGAAACGTAGAAATGTAGAAACACAGAAACATAGAAACATAGAAACATAGAAACATAGAAACATAGAAACATAGAAACATAGAAACATAGAAACATAGAAACATAGAAACATAGAAACATAGAAACATAGAAACATAGAAACATAGAAACATAGAAACACAGAAACGTAGAAATGTAGAAACACAGAAACATGGAAACACAGAAACATAGAAATGTAGAAACACAGAAACGTAGAAATGTAGAAACACAGAAACATAGAAACATAGAAACAGAGAAACACAGAAACGTAGAAACACAGAAACGTAGAAACGTAGAAACGTAGAAATGTAGAAACACAGAAACATGGAAACACAGAAACACAGAAACGTAGAAACGTAGAAACACAGAAACACAGAAACACAGAAACACAGAAACGTAGAAACATAGAAATGTAGAAACACAGAAACATAGAAACATAGAAACATAGAAACATAGAAACATAGAAACATAGAAACATAGAAACATAGAAACATAGAAACATAGAAACATAGAAACATAGAAACATAGAAACATAGAAACATAGAAACATAGAAACATAGAAACATAGAAACATAGAAACATAGAAACATAGAAACATAGAAACATAGAAACATAGAAACATAGAAACATAGAAACAAGAAACATAGAAACATAGAAACAAGAAACATAGAAACATAGAAACATAGAAACATAGAAACACAGAAACGTAGAAAGGTAGAAACACAGAAACACAGAAACATGGAAACACAGAAACACAGAAACGTAGAAACATAGAAACACAGAAACACAGAAACACAGAAACACAGAAACACAGAAACACAGAAACACAGAAACACAGAAACACAGAAATATAGAAACATAGAAACATAGAAACATAGAAACACAGAAACACAGAAACATAGAAACATAGAAATGTAGAAACACAGAAACACAGAAACGTAGAAACATAGAAACAAAGAAACACAGAAACACAGAAACATAGAAACATGGAAACATAGAAACATAGAAACATAGAAACATAGAAACACAGAAACGTAGAAACATAGAAATGTAGAAACACAGAAACGTAGAAATGTAGAAACACAGAAACATAGAAACATAGAAACAGAGAAACATAGAAACACAGAAACATGGAAACACAGAAACACAGAAACGTAGAAACATAGAAAAACAGAAAACAGAAACACAGAAACACAGAAACACAGAAACACAGAAACACAGAAACACAGAAACACAGAAATATAGAAACATAGAAACATAGAAACACAGAAACACAGAAACATAGAAACATAGAAATGTAGAAACACAGAAACACAGAAACGTAGAAACGTAGAAACATAGAAACAAAGAAACACAGAAACATAGAAACATGGAAACATAGAAACATAGAAACACAGAAACGTAGAAACATAGAAATGTAGAAACACAGAAACGTAGAAATGTAGAAACACAGAAACATAGAAACACAGAAACACAAAAACGTAGAAACATAGAAAAACAGAAACACAGAAACACAGAAACACAGAAACACAGAAACACAGAAACACAGAAA